TTTTGTTCATAGCAATAAAAAGCTAACAGAGAAATACATTGATATGATACCACTTACATAAATGTCAAAACCAAGAACTTTTAAAATGAAATTTTAAAGAATTCACATATATGTAATGAAATTCTAAAATAACAAAGAAAGTGGCAAAAAATGTGAAAATAAAATTTAGAGTAGTGAAGTCTCCTGGGAGGAACAAGAGAGGCTGTGGTTAGAGCAAGGACACTTGGGACTGTATAAATATCAGAAATTTCTGTATTAAAAATAGTTGATGGACATACAAATATTTGTTTTTAATTCTCTGTGTCACACAATATGTTATTTAGTTATTTTTATTATATCAAAGTCGTAAATTCAATAAGCATCTTGAATAAGTTATTTTAAAAGTTAAAAAGGAGAAAAGCAATATTATAAATTTCTAGACAGAATAAACATCTGCACTCATAATAAACATAAACAACATAAAATTTTTGCCATGAATAAATAAATAAAGTCTGATTGACATCAAACTCAGTATCTAATGGAATGGTAGAGATTAATGCCTATATCCCAATCAGAACAGTAAAAACCTAGACTTAAGCAAAGCATCATACCTCTGAGGGTAGGGTACAATAAAAACTATTTTAAAAATGTAAGCATTTTACCAATAATGACCCTCTGAGAATTAAATATTATTAAATGACTTCTTGGAAATGACAAGATAACCAACAACAATAGAAAATTATAAAATATAAGAAAGAATAAAAAAGAAAACCAGTACAACAGACAGGTTAATTCTAACAATTATTGACCAAGAACAAAATTCCACCAAACATGAGCCTATCTCTGACTTTGCAATGCTTTAACACTAGTAATCTTTGTTTAGCCTCTCTTTGTGACTTGTTACTTTTAATTTTGTTTCCTTACACTTGAATGAAGCAAACTTTCCTAAGATCTGAGCATTTATCTTTAAAATACATAGGCTCATGGATTCTCAATTTTAAAAATATTAAATATTTTAAAATCTAAAAATTAAATATCCAAAAATTTAAAAATCTTAGTTTTTTTGTTTTAAAAAATCTAAGATTGTTTTTTAACCTCTGATTAATAAACATTAATGAGAATTTACCAATTTTTTCAATTGTTCCTATGTAAGAATAATATGTTAGAACAATTTCTGAGTTGCAGTCATCAAAGAGATCATCTGATACAAGTTCATGGCAGAAAAACTGGCATTTAGACATTGATCTGTAATTTTGATCAGACTTTGCATACAGAGACTGAAATTTCCAAAGTTGATCTTCCTTCCATGGTTCTGTTTAGTGATTCTCCTTTACTTCCTATTCTCTTGGAAATGAAAATCTAAATAATCACAAATAGTCCTTGTCTGGGTAATGAATTTTATTTCAGGTCTGTTATCTTCTGTTTTCATAGATTCTACTGAGTGGCTTGAAAGTTTGTGAATGCAAAACTTTTATTCTTATTTAGAGAAGAGTTAGGCCCCCTTTAAGTCTGTGACATACATTTCAGTCTATGTATTTTTCACTACAGATTCTGCAGGAGAATATTTCATTGATGACTTATTGATGGTTACTCAAATTAAACACATATATATGTTTATACACACATACAAATTTGTGCATATGTGTGTGTGCGTGTGTGTATGCATATGCTATGCACTTTATAAATCCTGAAAGACAAAGAGCATAAGCACATAACAAACTCAAACCCTTAACTCAGAGATGTTATGGCTAAGCATGCACACTACCTTCAATATTTGCTACCCTCCATATCATGTGAGAAGAAGAAAACTGTGTTGATCAAACTTTGTACATTATCATCTCTTCCCTTGCCCAGATTTAGTATACACAAGTGAACTACTGACATAGTTTTGACTATTGTTCCTGAGCCCAAGATCACAAAAAGTTTTAGAAGGTAAAGAAATTCATATGGGAATCAAAATGTGATTGATCAGTTAGAACCTCATGGGGCAAAGATCTTTTTATGGTACATAGATGACTTTCCTGAGATGAGGAGAGTCTCTGCCAGCAGAATTAGAATAAACAAGGGACTTGGTTTCTCCACATATTTCCAAGTTTTATTTGAGAGCTTGAGGCCCTTTCTAGAACCAAGTAAGAACCTCAAATCCAACTTACCTCACACCGGCTTTGGCACTAAATGGTAGGTAAGATTCAGTAAGTCTATTGTGCAAAATTTCTTTGGAAAAGTTAAATATCAATAAATGAAAATCTAAATTACTTTCCCAAATATTTTTCCTCTTTCTGATGAAAGGCCTATTTAGGGCTATAATAGCCAAGAAAAAAATCAAATTATTTTGAAAACAGTGAAGTTTCACCAATGCCCAGTTTATGTAAAATCTGAACAACATAAAATTATGAGAAAGAGCATAAAGACATTGACTTATAATTTTGATCAGAGAATGTGCCATTGGTACTGAATTATACTGTAGAAAAAAAATCTCCATTTTTTTTAGTTTCTGCTTTATATATTACTGCATTGTGTAAGAATAACGTTGCTGCTTTGTAACTATACGGGTGCTGAGGGTGAAGAAGTTCTATTTTAAGAGGACTCAGTATTTAGCTGTTATAAGAGGAGGCTGGAGGGTTAAGTTGACACAAAGTTCTGGGAAGGTGGGAATGGGAGGAAGCTACCAAATTTAAATCTGAAGCAAAAAGAAGAAAACTTCTCTCCTACCTTTACCATGTTCTCTATCTACATTTTCCCCAGAAAAATGGTCATCAACATCAACTAAAGTTGATTATTTGTATTCCATTATCTAGTTGCCCATTCATTTAATGCTTATGGGTCATAATCCTATAGAAGAGGAGGGGTTAGTAGTAGAATCCATTAGTTCCAAAAATATACCCTTAAAAAAAAGTGTTCCTCCACTCTCTATGACATCAGTATTACTGCTGATTCTTCCCACAAAGAAATCTGCCTCTACCAAGCTCAAGGACTCTCTGCTGGTTACATCTGCCATATCTCCCTGCTGTGTTCCAATTTAAAGATGGGAACTGTGGCATGAGTCCTAGTTTCTCATGGTGCTCCCCCAAAAAGACAGCTCCTCAAATTCGTTTTTTATCTTTTTTTTTTTTTTTTTGGTACTCAGGAGCTCTTAACCACTGAGCCACATCCGAGGACTATTTATTTATTTATTTATTTATTTTTGGGCAAAGGTCCACTAAATTGCTTAGGACCTTGCTTAGTCATTGAGGTTGCCCTTGAAATTGCAATCTTCCTGCCTCAGCTTCCTGAGCCCCTGGGATGACTGGCATATGTCACCATACCAGACCTCAAATGCATTTTCTTGAAGCTGGGTTACTCATTTGACTCTAACACCAATTTAAAAATTTTAGATGATACATTTTTGGTCTTGCTTCTTGACTTGGTGATGTTAGCAGAATTGTTTTTCCCTGGTAACACTGGAGGAAAAGGAAAAGAAGGGCAGAATGTGTGTGCAATTACTTTTTATCCTGACACATGTGCCCAGGGATGTTTCATACTCCCATTGCTGGAATTGCTGGTATATTTTATTCCTACATGAAGCCTTATGGAATATAAAATTCTGGTAAAGCATAAAATTCCTGCTTCCTCTAATCCAAGTGTTTCCCTCAAATGAGGCTTATTGCTCAGTACGACCAAGAGTCAGAACATCCATTCTCTTCAGGTAAATTCTTTTATTCCCACTGTTCAGTTTAGCCATTTATAGGATTTCAATAGGAAAACATGACTACTTTTCTCAAGTGTAAATTTCATAATATTTTAATGCAGCTGAATCTTAGTCCATTAAATATTTTCCTTTAGAGATGTATTAAGAAAGTTTAATTTTATCTTTGCCAGGAAATATTTTATAATGCACACACATAGTCAAAGCTAACTTAGGCTGACAAATTTAGAGCTCTCTGTCAGAATTCTAGGAAAGAAATTTAGCTGGACTCAATGAGACTCAATGAGACTCGGGAACAGGAAATTGAATGCTGGGAACATAGGCCATGCATTAATCTGGAGAGCTACACAAACATTTACCACCAGTTTTTCACTTTCCTCTTTGGAGTAGATGGGTTTGGTTCTGTTTCAGAGGGAATGCTGAGATGGCAGCGCTTCTCTAAGTTGGTTTTAAATGGTTTCTCTATACAAGTACACAACATTTGAGTCTCTTAATTCACATATAGTTCCTGGGAAATAGAATTACATTCCTGTGGGTCAGTAGATCATTAGATCATGAAGTGTGTGTGGATAAATGCATACATGTGCCGATTAAAATAATATGGATTTTACTATCCTTTCATGATTAATAATAAAATAGACTATTTTAGGATTATTATCACATTTATTAAAATATTATATAGCACTGAAAAATAATTGGCAGAAAAAATATTGGTAATTTCAATGTACTATCCTATGCTTGACATTATTAATATTTTATACCTTCTATCTTATTATTTCATAATTTAACATGTATAACTTTAATTCTCCTTGGAATTTGTTGTGGTAAAAAGAATCTAGGCAAATTTTTTCATTATACAATTGCTAAAATCAATCAGTCAAGTAATAAAATAGATGAATAATATTATCAATAATAACAAAACAAAATGACAATGAAAATAACACATAATATATATTTATTGCTTTCTCAGAGCCAGTCTCTAAATATATTATGTATAACCTTTAATTTAATATTTATAATTACCCAATGAATACATTTTATTTATAATTATTCAATTTGATGAATGATGATTCTGAAATTTCACTTAAAGTTTTTTCTGTATTTAACCAGAGCTCAGATGTTTAAAAACTCTGTCATATTCAAAACTTTATATTTTCTATTATTATTTATTCTGCTTTCAGAAACAAATACAAACTTTATCATTTACACATGGTAAACAATATAAAATCTTATTATTTTTCATTAAATGTTAATTTTGGAGGACTTTTCTATAAATCACCAACAGGAAGAATAAGTTTAAAATGGTTAGTTAGAGTAATATGCTTCAGGAAGAACTAAAATTATATGAATTCATTATCTGGACAAAACCAAAGAAATCTGCAAAACTATTTGTCTAAATTATATGTTTTATGTAATACTCTACTTATTATGAAGAGAATTTATCTAAAACTATGCATTGAAGTTTTAGGCCAGAGGCAATAAACAGTGTCTTCTGCAAAGCTATAGAAGTGATACCAAAGTAGAAAATGTTTATAATCCTTCACAAATTTCAAAAGCAATTTAAAAGACAACATAAGTTAATTGAACCTCTAGTGTCCATTCAACATATATCTACAGGAAGCATTGAAAAAACTCGAAAAACAGGAAATCTGATATTCATTTGTTTTCTGGTACTATGAAATGCATAATGACATATATCTAAGGAATTACAAGTATGTATCCTGGAAACCTGTGAATAGTGTTATAGTGTTTCCAAATCCTTGAAGAATAGTTCAGCTGCTAGTGAACCAGAAAATAATAGAGAACCAGGTGAGTTAGTCAGAGAGGTATCATATGGTATTGAAATAATAGAAATAAGACTATCAGATAATGATCAATAATGTCCTCTAACTCATCTTACATAAGGATCTCTTTGGTATACATGAATTTATATATTGGCAGTTAATACCACAATATCCACACATGCATACCCTCACCTACAAGTAACTGGATGGATTTAAAGTATTTCTTCTCACACATGTGCACCAGAAAAACAGTATGCATGTTTTTTTTTCCATTTATGTATATTGTGCATTGGAAAGATGTTTGGATTTTTCTTTTGTTTTGTTTGAACTTTCTGTACAACTTTGATAACGTAGGCTTGTCAAGTACAAGAAAAAAAAGAAATAGTTAAACTTCATCAGAAAATGTTTCACGCCTAACATGGACACCTAGGTGTGATGGTTAAGTCACATCCTTGAACTTTGGTACTTCAGGTTGGGGAATTTAAACTATTTTTGTTGGAAAAGTTACAGTCTTTCTGTTATAGTACTTGAAACCTGATGAAACCACATGAGTGACAAAAAGAGGTCTAAGTGAGGCTAACCAATTTTAAAAATGGGGTGAGGAAGGATGACTAAGAACACAAAACACCATGAGTACCGTTCTAAGGAAAACTCAATTTCACAGGAGAGATTGAAAACCCAAAGCCAGTGCCCTGCAGGATTACATAGGAAAGCTTCCAAGTTTCTTCATCACATATACATAAAAGTTTTCCTCCAGAGAAAGAGGTATTTGCCTAAAGTTTATAGACATCCCAAACTTATATGTAGGTTTTGTAACTATTTACATTATATTTTTTCCCACAAAGTTGGTCCTCTATTAAGAGTAACAGTCAAGGAAACATAAGAAAGCAATTACTCAGATACTCTCAAAATGTATGTTTTTGTCAAATCATGAAGCAACAACTTGCTAAAACCTGAATCATTTACTTTAAAAATGCTGATAAAGAATTGCTCTAAAGGAGGAGAATGTATGTACCCTTGGTCTTCTATAAATAATTTTCTTTCTTTTTTTTTTCCATGCTTCTTCAGGTCATTTTGTTTTCTATTCGATCATAATTCACTAGCAAATACACCAAGTGGTTGAATCCTACCTAGTATTTTCAACATTGTTAAATATGGCTTCTGAAGAGACTTAATATTTTCTATGGAAACCCAGCTTCCATTTCAAGCTACTAAAACTTGATACTTAACGTATGATAATTTTCCATTGTTTCTCTTTGTTAAATGATTTTAAAAGAACTTCTGCCCTCATCTTAAGATACATCCTAATCCATAATACAATAAAATTGCCTGTGAAAAAAGGTTATAATATGTCCTAAGTAAAGTACATTTTGGACAAGTGTCAGGTGGGAATATTTAGTGAATGACTCACTTTCTTGTGAAGCTGAAGAATTTGGGGAAAAAATTAACCTAAATCTTTAGGTACCAAATCTGTTAAAAGAGTTAATTTTATAGTTCCCACCAAAATTATATAGCCTAATACTTTTACATTTATTCAGTTGTTGCTTGTAAGAAGAAATAATTGCCATAGTCATCACATTTTTGATGGTCAGGAGTCAAAGTGTTTCATGGTGTGTAAAGAAAGGAAAAATGAATAACAAATCAGGGTGCTGAAGCTTAGCTGAGAAGTAAAGGAAGTTAAATTAAAAATATATGTGAATACTGAAAATGAATTTTTGTTGGGAAAAAGATAAGGTTGTTACTTTATTCACAGCAAGATCAAGACTCTAATAATATATTTGAAAATTTGAAGATGCATATACACTAATAGAATTCTTAAGAAAAAATTTATATGAATCATCTCTGAACTATTTTTCTTACATGTTTCTTGGTACCTCCTCTTAGGTATGCCAAGTGATACAATCATCAAACCTTTCATAGCATCTCATTTCTTGTATTTGAGTAGTTTGATAAAATAAATGTCTTCCTTAAATCCTGTTATAAACTTGGCCTAAGGTTCTTCTACACGTTTAGTTTTATATTTTTATTATTACCTCCCCAATACCAGTATCTTTTATGCTCTAAATGCATGTGAAACCAGACAAGATTGAAAGATGGACAATAACCTCTATATCTGGTTCCCAGTCCAAGCTTTGATAGTGATAGAGATTGAGTTATTTGGATATCTGATAGATAATTTAGATAGATAGATATAGGTATGCAAATGGATATCAATTTGGTCAATTTTGAATTCCACAATTATATATCTTTATTGATACATGTTGTACTAGAACTTGCTGCGTGAGAGGAGAAACTTCAGCATCTTATTTGACTCTTGTTTCGTTATATTCTAGGAATACCACGAAGATGCATTGGACATTGCACCACACTGGAGGAGCACAATATTCCATTCAAATAGTGATTTTCCATTGTGGAAGTTGCCTCTCAGCTCCAATTTTGAGTTGAACACATTAAATACCTGGTAGGAATACCAGTGAAAAGCATCTGCTATCCATTGCTATGTGTTTCTATGTCTGTGTGGGCTATAACCTTGTGTGCGGTTTTTATTTTGGCAAACTACTAAGTAATCTTAGTTAAAAATCATCTATTTTTCCTATAGCTCTACCTTGCCTTTGCCTTCAGTTTTCACTCCTCATGTTTAGGGTATCCCTTACCATAAAATTTCCTTGTCAGAGCAGTAGGTTCTATAATCATGAAGTCCGTCCGGTCAGGCGAAGTACACTTCACAGTCAGTTTTTACACAAAGTTTTCAATTATGTGTATGACATTATTCCCTAAGGTTGACAATGATATTTTTCATTTTCTGTTTGCCTGCTCTTAAAAGTGGTTTGCCTTTTAGGAGGATTTGAAATTTTGCTCCTCCTCTAAGTTGTTGTTCTGTGCAATTCCCCCTTTATGAGGTTTATTTCTACTTGGATGCTCTAAAGATTAATATTCAAGTCCATAACTTACTTTCTGTTACAATGTCACAATCTCTCTTGACACTTTGAAATTTAACTAATACATTTTGTGAACATGTAAAGTTCTTTTAAGTTAATACAAAACCATCATGAGGCAATGCGATTTTTGTCAAGAAAATTAAAGCATGCATCAACCAATCAATCTCAGGCCATATCATCGTCCCAATGGATCACTCTTGAGTTTTATTATTCTTCTAAGAATTCAAACCATATACAATCTAGCCCTACCTTATTGTTCAGTCTTTCCATTTATCCTTCACCTTTCTTCTTTAATCCCACAAAATATGTAAACATTCCTTTACTGAAACAGTTTTATTGAGGTGTAATTGACATTTTAAAAACTGCATGCTGCATGCATTTAATGAATATTATTTGATGAGTTTGGTGTATGAATACACCCTGAAGCCATCACTGTAATGAAGGTAATAGACATACCCGTCATCTCCAAAGTCTTTTTGTGTCTCTTGTTTGTTGTTTTATTTTGCAGCAAGTACACCTATTAGGACATCTATCCTCCTAACAATTTTTTTTTTGTCCTGAGAATTGAATCCAGGGGTACTCAACCATTGAGCCACATCCCCAGCCCTTCTTATTTTTTATTTTGAGACAGAGTCCTAGTAAATTGCTTGGGGCCTCAATAAATGGCTGAGGCTGTCTTTGAACTTGTGATCCTCCTGCCTGAGCCTCCTGAGACTCTGGAATTATAGGCATGTGCTACCATGCCTGGCTCAATTTTATTTTACTAAATCTGTCAATCATTTTTGTATCCCCCTGTGTTCTAATTTCAACATCTTACTTCACAAAAAGTTTCTGAGTGCTCTCCCATAATCTGTGCCCTAGTCCTAAAATGGGCTCTTACCCTAGAAAAATATGTAGAGGTCTTTATTTTCATAAGCAAGAGTCAGGGAAGGTGTTTAAAACATTTTAATTTTTCTGAGAACCAGAATTTAAATTCTCTATAAATTTCTCTAATTAGGCTGGCTTCTTTGCAATATGAGTAGTGAAGCTGCATAGGGTCCAGGACTCAAATACCCCACATCTGGGGTTTAACATTCTGTAGTAATTACTGAGAACTTTTGTTTTGTGGGCTGGAAATGGGTAGGATCAGATGTAAGAGAGTTTCCTTCATGATGTAAGAGAATCTGGAGAACAGGTATGGTGGTGACAACCATCCCTGACTTAAGTGGGCAGATCCATGTTGCCTTCAAAGAAGATTTGGTCAGGCCTCTTGCTTACTTAACCACCCATATACTGAGCTTATTCCTACATAGAATTTGCAATCCCTAGTGACTTCCTGGCTGCTAAGGTTTGGTGTGGTAAGTTTTGGGGAAAGGGAGACTGACTTTCTGTCATTAGTTAAGAGTTTTTCATCCCATTTTACAGTGGACTCCTCAAATTTTGTAGCTGACTGTGCTTCCAAGAATCTCCTGGCAAAGATCATTTCTATTCTAATTTTGTAAGTTAATAGTTTTTGCTTTTCCCAGACACTAATGTAGTTTAAAACTTCAAATAAAACAATAACAACACAAAAGGTAAAAGACACTCTGAAGCCAATGAATATATTTATTTTTCTCTTGGATGGATTCAAGAAATATTGTTATTGAGTTAAATTGAATTCATGCACTTCTATAGGCAAGATTTATATGTATCTGAATAATTAGATAAAGCACATGTATATATAATATGAGAAAAAGAGAAGTTCTGGATTTCAAAATTGTAAAGGGCCATTTCAAAATATTGTGGTATATGGAACATGTGTCTAGATTCTGGACCCGTAGCTTCTAGTGGCGTATTTCTGCAATATTATTTGCTTCCCAAAATAACACACATTTTAACTTTTTTTCTTATTTTAATTTTATTTAAACCAAAAAATACCTCTGAAAAAAATAGATGCTCAATAAATCTTAATACCTTCTCTCTCTAAAGCAATTATCTTCTAATATTAACTCAGAAAAACACATTAAGCTGCTAATTGGCTCCTAAAATATTTCCCATAGGACATGGCCTGGAATCAGAACACTGACACAAAAATAACAACATTCATCTTCACAATTGAGAAATTTAGAGTTTCCAGAAGAATCTAAAAAAAAAAAAAAAACCAGTAGATGAAGACTTTGAAGGAGGCTGGGGAAAAACAAAATGGAAAACAATTAGGAGAATGAGTTAATCATCATAAGGGTGAAATGAATTGTCATGTTACAAGTAAGAATGACAGAAAGACTTTAAGAAAATGGATGAAGTCTTCGGTATATAAAATGGCATGAAATAGTCCTTAATAAAATATTCCCCAGTTCTTAGATAAAAAAATAACTTGCCACAGCTCTGCAGAGTGACAGATGTGGGTAGTCACTGAAGTGTTCCATGGTAGAGACAAAAGACAACAAGGAACACAGCAGAGCTCATCTACTGGATCGATTCATCAGGAGTAGGAACTCAGTCTGAATTTGTAAACCACCTTTACTTCTTTGCTAAAGTAAATGGAGTAATAATAGACTATCACTAAAAATATTAGTAAACACTTAGTGCTAAATATGTATCAGACATGATTACGTATGACATAAAAACCACTCAGATTTTATTATCAACATGCAAGAAAGGATCCTGGGGTACAGAGATGATTTGCCTGCTATCACATAGATTGTGAGTGGCACAGCCAGGATCTGAATCATGATGCTTCATCTTCAGAGCATAAGCTCCTGAGTTCCATGTCATCGGACCTCTCTGAACTGATTCTTAGTTCCCTAAAATAAGTGAATGCAATTTCAATCTTTATTTTCTACAGATAATATCTACATTATACTAATGGGAATCCCCCCGTTTTTTCTCAGTCAAGAGTGGAAAATAAGTAGCCAGAAGTATGAAACCATCACAGTGCATTTTTTTCACAATATATAAAGAGTTAAACCAACAATTTTTTAAAAAATTTTCTCCCAACTGCTTGGAATAGTGTAGTACATTTCTCATTCCAAAGCAGCAGTAAAGTAGTAGACGTTTAGTTTATACTACACCTATTTTATCTGTATTTTAGCCCGAGATTTTTATTTTTTGAGGTGATATGGGAGTGACATTATTGATATAGGATTGCTCAATACAAAATATTTTTAAATTAGATAATTGCTTAAGCTGCTACAGCAACCTAGATCCCATACATTTTTTTCATGCTATGTTGTCTTAAAAAAGGTAAAAATATCTAGATCAGACTTTTCAATTCCTATCATATCACCAAGCCTGCTGCTGAGGATTGACTGACTACCTGTACGACACACCTTGTGTTGTTACATGATTATTTGATAGATAGCATGACAAAAGGCAGAAAAAACAGTCTGAGACAGAGATGGCAAATAGTGTCTCACAGTGGAATTTAAGTTTATTCTCAGTGACTCTGGCAATTGAAATAACAGAAAGCTATTATCTCTGCTGAATTGTTTGTTCAAGTATTCATTCTATTTACCCTGGTGCTGAGGGGTTGGTGAGTATTCCTAGCCATAATAGGCCAAGACAAAGTTGTACAAGATGTAGGAAACTAGAAAATGCATGAACTAATTGTGTCTGTGTCTGGGAAGAAAGAAGAAAGCATAGATTTCCCTACTAGCTAAAAACAGCTAAAATTTATTAAATATCTATTACAAGTGAGAAAATTAGAGCCTTCTCATGACCCTATTTCTCTGCTTAAATTGTCTTGATATATTTTCCTGAACTACCTTTAAGATACTTTCTATCATTTTGTTATTTATTTTCTCTGTTCTGATTTTATTATCATAATAATCTTCTTTTACTTGGATTTATAGTTTTAGTTAAATATTGTTGTTAGTCACTTTTTCTTTATACTTCTTGAGTCAGACAGCCTTAAAGAATACTTGATGGTCATGTACAACCATAAGAATGGATAGTGATATTCCATGTATGTATGACATGTCAAAATACATTCTACTGTCTTGAATAAATAAAAGAACCAAAAAAAAAGAATAGTTGATAAAGCATCCTCCTTTAGGTTCTCAATTCAATGAGGACAGTCTCTGCCTCTCTTTGAAGAGGGGTACTAAGAATTTAACACCTCAGTGGAGGTGTACCTGTTAGATCATATGCAGATGACCTGCAGATTCTTGTGGTAGCTTTAGACAATGAACAGGACATTTGCAATGCAAGATATTTAATTGTAGTCATATAACTTTACCTGGAATTACAGGAGATGCTGAAGTAGAATAAAGTCTTTATGCATTATTGCATTATTTATTGCATAAAAATTATTTATTGCATCTTTCTATTGCAAAGCTTATGATTTGCCTGAATGCCACAGAGCAGTTATGTGTCATCTTCTAACTTTAACTTGTTTGTGGCCTAAATAGACAGGACAAGATAGGTTACCCCAAATTACATTTTGGATTAGGAGTCAGGAAGGGAAAAGGAACTATTCATATTATCTATATTTGGTTGTCCCCAGACACAAAAATTAGGGTCATATGCAGTCTTGAGTTCCTTCCAGGTATGAATTGTATCAGATTTAAACAGGAATTTTCCCATGA